TAAATTTTTGACGGCCAGATTGCAAAGTCTGGCTCTATAAGGTTCTCAGGGATAATTCAAGGAAGATACCATAATAATTTGGCGATTATATATATTGTCAACGAGGCAATATATTTGTTCTTGTAAAATTGTATTCCGCCTGATTCGCTGCGATATTTGGTACAGCTGACGATTTAATTATGTATAATAAATTGTTGACGGCCTGTTTGTAAGATCTAACTCTGTAGAGATCTCGGGAATAGTTGTAGGAAGATGCTATAACAAGTTCATATATTACGTCAACAAGGCAAAATATTGCTTCTTGTAAAATGGTATTCCACCTGACTCGCTGCAACTCCTGGTACGGCTGATGCTTTATATATATATATATATATATATATATATATATATATATATATATATTATAAATTTTGGACGGCCCGATTGCATAATCTGACTGTGTAAGGTCCTCAGGGATAATTCAAGGAAGATGCTATAACAATTTAGCAATTATACGTATCGTTAACGAGGCGAAATTTTGCATCTCGTAAAATAATTTTTGGAGTGATTCGCAGCGATGCTTGGTACGGCGGACTCATTTATTTTTCATAAACTTTGGACGGCCAGATTGTAAAATCTGGCCCTGCAGGGACCTCGATAATAGTTCACGGAATATTCCATATCAATTTGGCGGTTACATATATCGTCAACGAGGCGGAATATCTCTTCTTGTGAAATTGTATCCGCGTGATCCGCCTTGACGCTTGGTGCATCTTTATTTATTTGTGATAAAAGTTAGACGGCCTGATTGCGAAATCTGGCTTCGTATAGACCTCGGAAATAAATCGAGAAATATGTTGTAACAATTTGGTGGTAATATATGAGTGCAACGAGGCAAAATATCTTTTCTTGTAACATGGTATTTCGCGGGACTCGCTGCATACGATGTTTCGTATGACGCTCGCTTTATTAAAATATTATAAATTTTTGACGGCTGGATTGCAAAATTTGGCTCTGTAGGTTTCTCGGGGTTAGTTCAAAGAAGATGCTATAACAATTTGGCGGTTAAATATATCGTCAACGAGGTGAAATTTTGCATCTCCTACAATCATTTCTCAACTGATTCGCTCTAACGCCTGATACGACGGATGGCTTTATTTATATATTATAAACTTTTGACGACCAGATTGCAGAATCCGGCTTTGTACCGATATCAGAAATAGTACGAAGAAGATGCTGCAACAATTTGATAATAATACGTATCGTCAAAGTATCGTCAAAGAGACGAAATATTGCATCTCGTAAAATGATATTTCGAGTGACTCGCAGTGATGCTTGGTACGGCGGACGCTTCATTTATTTTTCATAAATTATGGACGGCTGGATTGCAAAATCTGGCTCTGTAGGGACCTCGATAATAGTTCAAGGAATATTCCAAATCAATTTAATGGTTATATATATCGTCAACGTGGCAAAATATTTTATGTTTTAAAGTGGAAGTTGGAAGGTATTCATACACATACACACGGCAATATTTATGCACTGCTCATATACACGCTAATACTAATGCATTGCTCGCGCGACCGCAAGGCAGGAAGGTTAGATCATATAGACTGCACTATAGTGCAAATGGGCTACACTTTCCGTGTTATCTACACTTACAAATTTTGCCACGCATACATCATATTTTCTTATCAGACATACATGGACATCTTCCTTATATTAGTATGTAGGGTCGTACAGAGCCCGATTTTGCATTCAGGTTTTTGAAAATTTGTAATAAATGAAAATATAGGTTCGTGATGCACCGCGGGATGAACGTTCATTCAAATTATTGAATCGATTTTTATTTCGACTTTTTTTCCAAGAAAGCGCTCTGTACGACCCTGCGGACGTTTCTCCTGATTGCAAATATTATACATATAAGGTGATTCTCTTCGTATTTTGTTCATAATTTGCAATATAATTTTGCCTAGTTCGCGGGTCTCCGCAAGAGGTCTCTAGTAGGCTCCTGTAGACCCTTAATTCATGTTACAAATGCATAACAATGCGCGAGACCGTGCTTGTCAAGTACGCTATTATGGTTGTAGCACGGACATAAACCGCCTGAAAGTGGATGTAGCACGGAGAGCCACCAGATGCAGGTTTTACCGTCGAGACCTAAAAGTGGATGTAGCATCGTAGTTCTCCTCTCAAAATGGATGCAGATAGCGCCCATTTCCAGTGCGAAAAATCCATAGACATATATAATAGACTGAGCATACCCTATACTTTTCTGTAGAAGAAGGTGGGTTTGGCAGAACTGTGAGAGAGGCAAAACATCGGTGACTGTCTGTCCTTTTTTGCGCGCGCATTCGTGACAGCAATGGTCGACTAGTCGATCAGCTGAGTATACGTCGCGTGTCGTAGGCAGAGAAGCAGAGAAAGTAGAGTTAACAATAGTGAAGAAAAATATAATCGAAATGAAAATATGAAGACGTGTACTGCATGTGGTTATTGGAAAACATCTGGCGAAGAAGTATCATTCCACATGTAAGTAATGGCAATTAGTTTATTTGTAATACATATGTATGTAAATTCTAATAAAGTATATATATATATATATATGTATGTACGATGTAAATCACTAAGACTGTAATTATTTATAAATAATTCAAAAATGCAATCAAAAATGCAATCAAGACTATATGTGAATGAGGTTTATTGCAACAAGGAGCATATTGTTAATGAAGACAAGGAAAATATATGCATGGAAAAAGATACAAACACTCACATGCACGAGATATATGCTAATGATACAACAGCATGCAATAAAAAGGAGATGCATGATATAGAATCAGAAAATATATCTAAGTATTTATATGATATATTACAAAATATTTAGTAATGATTGTATGTATTATATGCTAAAATTATTTGCAGAAGATAAAAAATGCAGTCAAGACTATATGTGAATAATGGTAATTTTAACAACGAATATACTGTTAATAAAGACTCGGGAAACATATGCATGGAAGAAGATACAAACACTCACACAATCGAGATATATGTTGATGATACAAATACATGCAGTAAACAGAAGATGCATGAAGTAGAATCAGGAAATACATCTAGGTATATACTTATATGATGTAGAATTAGATCGACATATACTAAACTGATTTTGTTTAAAAATCAGTAATTTTACATTACAAAAAAAATAGCATTTCGTTCGACTGCATATGTAAAAATAAAATGTACTATGTACCTTATCAAATATATTTATAATAAGTATGTACAAAATATATTTACATTTATATGTGTGTGTGCACGTTATTTTATTTTTATATGATTCTTCTTACATTGTAAATGTTTTCATTACATAAATATATAATAAAATTTCTCTAATATTTTAGTCATTTGATGCAATGTGTTATGTATTACTTTATATTTTATCACTTGTCATATATAATTTCCCTATTACTGTTATACTAAAAATATTTCATAATATGCAACACAAAAATTATAATTTTATTACATAACATTTATTTCACATTTCATCTTATTATGCCCCACATTTGTTTCTAAACTTTTAAAAAATTAATTCCTTATGACAGAATAGGAAAATATGATTTATGGCAAATAAAACGCGTATTTTTACAAATAAATATTTATATATTTATTCAGTATCAATAATATTAATATGATCACCAGTATTATACATATCTTGTTGCCCGTACATAACTACGCTTATGCGTATTTCTTGTTGTCATGAGTCTGCGTCATTGCCTGTCACTAAACGATTGCGCATTCGACCTGCGCAGACAAGGAAAGAAAACTTTCCCGATATCTTGCCTCTCTCACCGTTCTGCCAAACCCGCTATGCTCAGTCTATTATATATGTCTATGGAAAAATCGGTGTCGCCGAAAATGCCGTGTTGGCCGCTTTCAGGTTCCTCTCTGGTAGCATCCATTTTTCCTTTCACATCAAACGCATCAAAAGTCGTTCCGTTTCCAAAAGCGCATAGGCGCATTAACGAAAACGGAACGATATCAATGCGCGCAACGCATTGGTTGCGATCGATGCGCTCGATGCGTGAAACGGAACGCAGCTAAAGTGATCAATGGCTGCATTCAGCAGATTCAACAGTTGGATAACATTACTAGATTTTCCACTGAATCTCGCTCCTGATTGGTAAATACTTCTAGGTCTATGAAGAATCTAAAAGAATGCTTCAATAATCACTAAGACAATAATCACTAAGCGCTTTCTGATCACTTTGTTCTACTGAACGCGGCCAGTGAGCGCTTAGTGATTCTCGCTCCTGATTAGTAAATACTTCTGGGTCTATGAAGAATCTAAAACATACTCCAATCACAGACAATAATCACTAAGCGCTCACTGATCATTTTGTTCTACTGAACGCAGCCAATGGCTACTACGATATTCCCTAATCAATTCCTGCCGCGCGGCAAGCCTGCAACCGGGCTAAATACATTCCTATCATAGGACTATTTCTTTAAACAGTTTTTATTTCAAGCCTTTTTCCAAAAAAGAACACTTTGTAACCTTTTGCGGATGATTTTAAGTAGGAAGTTTTTACAATACCGTTTGTCAAATATGGTAAACGTTGATCGCAATATACATGACCAATAGCATTCACGATCAACGTTATCGTATCTGAGGGTGCGTTCCGTTTCACGCATATGCGCGCATTTATCTATAGTTTATGTAACATATACTATAAAAGATGCGCGCATATGCGTGAAACGGAACGCACTCTGAGAGACGGTGGCTGCGTTCCGAAATTCACTGCATATACTGAAAATATATAGTTTGTGTCACATATACTATGGAATTTAAATGCTGGCAATGAATATCGGAACGCAACTGGTATTGTAAAAACTCCTTATTATCATAATTTCTCTGAATTTTGTCAAAAAATAACAAATGTCTGCTTATTTTACGAGTCGCCACAAGAGGTCTCTGTATTCTTTCTGTAGACTTAAGACCCCTCTACATAAAGTGTAGTTAATGATGCTTTCGTTCGCCATGTTGATTATTCTTTCTTGCTATTTCTGTCGACGGAGTACACGTGGTGAGCATATACATTTTCGTCTTTATTACTTGATCTTTTTCACTAATTTTATAAGTCAAAATATTTTTTGCAGCGGTGATAATTGAAATAGTTTACTACTTTTATAATATAATATTTATAGAAATAATTTTTCTTTTGTGCTTGTAACTACAGACACGAACTTTATGCAGTTTCATGCATATCGTTTATGTGAACAAAGAAATATTTATAATTGTAATCCAGAATAATCGTAAAATAATCATTGTTGCAGAGGATTCAAAATGTCATCGCATTTGAATTGGATGATAATTCGTAACAATAATGCTTTCTTGCTCAAAAAGCGCAATATCAATAAGCCGTTCTCTACGGTTTGTAATTTGCAATATTTTATAAAACATCGAAATATTATATATAATTTACATATAATTTCTTCAACTAGTATCTAATAATAGATGACAAAATATTTAGGAATCTAACAACTTGACGAATCTAAGCAGTTATCGCTACTCTGGATTAATTCACCGTAAGAGTGTAGGCGTTGTTGATACACCTGACAAAAAAGGTTTTACTGTTGTCTATAAGAAGGCTAAGGCAGTCAACAAACCTGCCAAAGCTACTGTAAGGAGTACAATGAAGGCGGGAGCTCGTCGTTCTCTTCATAAATTGAAGACTTTGCTTACAGCAAATAAATATCGTGTAGACCTTACCAAGGTATGTATATTATACAGTGGTTGCTAATTATAAAGACATATTTATCAATATTGATTTAATAATAATGTTATAACATCATATTTTTCAGGCTGCATTACGACGAGCCAGTGCTGTGCTACGTTCTCAGAAACCTTTACCTGCTAAGAAGACACGAACAGCGAAAAAAGCTGATTAATTTGTATACATTATTAAATATATCTTTTGATGTAATTTCTTGTGTATAACATGTTCTGTAAGGTAAATGAGCATTAGCACTATTCTAAATTTATTATTTTAATGTCTTCTAGTATTTGTTTTATTGAAGATAAATTTATCGAAGGTAAAAAAATACTGTGCTCTTTTTACTTTGCAAATATGTTTGAAATCTTGTTTTATCCATAAGTAACATTGTATAAATATTTTTAAACAAGCATTCATTTATGTTCTTCACATTGTGGTAAGTAAAGTTTCACTAATCTACTCATATGTAAGTATATATCCTATGATGCTATATTCTGTATTGCCTTTAATCGAATTTTTTTATTTCTAGATTTAATCTTTAGAAGTAATAGTATATTACTGGTCATCATACCTGACTAACAAGAGGTAATCATTAAGTAAATTTTACCTGGTCTTTATAGTTTCTTATGATATAGAAATAATGAAGATGATAATTTTTTATTAAGATCTATGAGTTTCATGATTTTTTGACAATACTTTCTGATTATTACTTACAATAATTTAAATTGTATATAAAAATTTTTACAATATTTTGTTTTTAAAAATTTTTTATGACATTTCTCTTTATAGGATCTAAAAATTTTAATAAAGTAGAATCTTTTTTAAATATATATATAATATTTTTAGATATATCTTTTATATATTTTATATATTTATATATATTATTCTGTACTTTACATCTCAGATTAGATTAAATGATGTTATATTATCACCAAGATCTATGAATGCTATGATTTCTCCATTTGCTACTGATTTTCCTTAAACAAAACAATTATGGTTGAATGATATAGCTTGTTAAAAACTATTAATTTTGTTCTTTATTTTTCAGATACACAAATTTTCCCCAAGTCTGAGCAACTGAATGGTGAAGATATTTTGTAGGTAATTTTTAGTTAATACATAAGTTTCATTTAATATATAATAATAATGTATTACATTCAAATATGATGAAATATATCACCAATATTTATGAATGTTGTGATTTGTACAGTATTTGCTAACTGAGTATCATTATCTACAATAACTTAGAAACGAAGAAGTAATCTTAATTAATAAAGTTTTATTTTCCTATTTATGTTATCTAGTATACATTCTTTGTGAGACAGGATTGATCTTCAAGCTATAAAAAGGTAATTTATTTTTTTTAAATAAAATATATATTTCTTTATTATTCTATATCTTACTCCTCAGATTAAATAGAATGATGGTATATTATCACCAAAATCTATGAATGCTATGATTTTTCTATTTGCTACTACTGATTTTTTCTTGAACAAAATTGAAATGTGAATTAATGATGTAGCTTATGAAAAACTATTAATTTTGTTCTTTATTTTTTAGATCAGCAAATTTTTTCCAAGTCTGAGCAACCGAATGGTGGAGATATTTTGTAGGTCATTTTTAATTCATAAGTTTCATTTATTATATAATAATATATTACATTTAAATATGATGAGATATACCACCAATACTTATGAATGCCGTGATTTATACAGTATTTGCTAACTGATTATCATCATTTACAATAACTTAGAAATGAAGAAATAATCTTAATTAATAAGGTTTTATTTTCCTATTTAGGTTATCTGGTATACATTCTTTGTGAGACAGGATCTTCAAGCTATAGAAAGGTAATTTCTATATTTTTTTAAATAAAATATATATTTCTTTATTATTTTGTATTTTACTCCTGCGATCAGATAGAATGATGTTATATTATCACCAAGATCTATGAATGCTGTGATTTTTCGATTTGCTACTACTGATTTTTTCTTGAACAAAACTGAAATGTGAATTAATGATGTAGCTTATTAAGAACTATTAATTTTGTTTTTCATTTTTTAGCAAATTTTTCCCAAGTCTGAGCAATTTGATGGTGTAGATGTTTTGCAGGTAATTTTTAGTTAATGCATAAGTTTCATTTATTATATAATATATAATAATATATTACATTCAAATATGATGAAATATATTACCAATATTTATGAATGCCGTGATTTGTATAATATTTGCTAACTGATTATCATCATCTATAATAACTTAAAAACAAAGAAATATTCTTAATTAATATGGTTTTATTTTTCTATTCAGATTGTCTGGTACACATTTTTCCTTGTGGGATAGGATCTTCATGACGGCGAATCAAGCTAAGTAAATCAAGGAAAGATAATTTCTATATTTTTTAAATAATATACAGGATCTCCCAAAACAATTTGTACAAAGTTGGTGGAGACATAGAGCGGATTAAGATAAACATACCGACATAAGTCTCATACCGGTTTTACGCAATAGTTATCGAGTTATTAATAACAGAAATCTGAGTAAATGCGTGCCAAGATGAGTGATTGGAGAAGCGTTGCAGTCGCTCGAGCCATAGCGCAGCCCAATCAATCCAGAAATTGTTGGAGGCATATGGCGAGATGTAAGAGCGACGATATAAGACACGAATAACAGGGTATTATTGCAGGGTAAGGAATTTTTATGTTTGTCTTAAGCTGTTCTATGTCTCCATGAGCTCTGTAAAAATTGTTCTGGAACAACCTGTGTATTTGTTTTAAATATTCTATATTTTACATTTGATGTTATATAAAATAATGTTATATCACCAAGATCTATGAACACTATGATTTCTCAATTTGTTATTACTGATTTACCTTGAACAAAATTGCATTATGAGTGATGTAGCTTATTGAAAACCATAAATTTTGTCGTTTATTTTTCAGATGTGCAAATTTTCTCTAAATTTTATCAATCAAAAGATGAAAATGTTTTGCAGATAATTTTTAGTTAATGCATAGGTTTAATTTATTATGTAGTAATAATATATCAAATTTTTAAATGAAATATGCCACCTATATTTATGAATGCCATAATTTGTACAGTATTTGCTAACTAATTATCATCCACGATAACTTCAAATTTAAACAAATAACTGGAACTAACAAAATTTTACTTTTTTATTTAGATTACTTGGTACGCATTTTTCTTTATGAGACAATATCCTCAAATTATAGAAAGGTAATTTTTATATTTTTAAAATAATATATATTTGTTTTAAATATTCAGTGCTTTACATCTAAGATTAAAGTAAAATGATGTTATATTATCACCAAGAGCTATAAATGCTATGATTTGTCAATTTGCTACTACTGATCTGCTTCGATTAAAATGACTACATATAAATGATATAGCTTATTAAAAATTATATAATTTGTTATTTATTTTTTAGATTTAAATTTTGTTAAGTTTTATTAGTCGAATGGCAAATTTGGTCTTGTAGATAAGTTCTAATTATTGCAAAAATTGCGTTTACTGCACAGGATGTTCTATTTTAATCTCTCACTCAAAATTTTATTTATTTTTGATTATAAGAAAAAAATATTTCAGTAAAAGTTGTTCGTTTTGATGGAGAGATACATGATAATGTGAGTTATATCATACACACACATGCGTGTATATATATTATTTTCGAGAAATTTTAAAAGCGACTAATTTCTTTAATAGAACTTGATTTTTTTCTTTAGATAAAAGTTGTATACTTCGTCAGGATGTTCACAAAACATCGTCAAAATTGTGTTTAGCATAAGTTATTCCAGAGATATGATGAAATTTTAAAATTTACATATCATTGACTTCACATGTATGGTTCGTAAAAAAAGTTTCAATGGTTGTTTTAAATTCGTTTTAACGCCATAAGAGATTTAACAAGATTTCTACAAGAATTAATTAGGAATATTTGTGCTTAAATATATATATCAAACATTTTAATATTGACATACAAATTTAAAATATTGCAGAATATTACTGATTGTCGAATTTTTGTATTTGTATTTTCAGAATCTGCTTAGGAACACTTTATAAATTCATACAACATTCACATTATTGCAAAAATATTTCATAACTCAGTTATTCTTTCATTTAATAAATAACCTCGGTTATTCATTAAATTATTAATTATGGAAGATTAATCTAACCAAGCCGAAATAGTTGACATAATAAAAATAATGTATGCAATTGCTTATGCAATAACAACTTGAGAGTAGCGGAAGAGGTATATGTCGTTAGGTTTTCCGGCAGACGACATTTGACGCGGAGGATTAGAAGTCTTATCCCTAAGGAGGCCTAAAGTAAAATTTGAAGCTTTATATCCCTGACTTGCAAAACACAATGTTAAGAATATTTTGGAAACATTACAATAAGATCTACAACTTTTATTTTGAAGAAAAAATTAAGTTTTATGTCGTAATCGTAACGGTTATTTAAAAAATTAGTCGTTTTTTGAATTTGTTGAAAACTATATATGTACGACATGACTTACATTGGAATTATGTGTTGCCCTTCAAACAAATTAACTTTTGTTTGAAGTATTTTTTTCTACAATCAAAAATAAAATTTTAGGGAGGCGGTAAATTAAAATAAGACATTCCATATAATATATTATTATTCAAATGTAATAAAACGTTTTATCATGATATATGAATATTAGAATTTGTATAATATTGGCTAACTATGAGGATGTTAAACAATTTATAATTTAAATGATGAGAGAAAGGAAAGAAAGTGAGAAAGAGGAGAAATAGTAAATTTAATACAATTATTTTGCTGCTTAAGTAGTTCTCCTATCGAAGATATGGTATTTTCTAATAAATCTAAACTTATATAGATAGTTTTATTATATTTCAAGTTTATAATGTCCTTATTTGCGAAAATGATGATAATTTTGCCATCAAGATCTATGAATGCTATGATTTAATACTCATATTTACTAACTGACGAAATCTATCAAAATTTTATAATTTTTTATAAATTTTTATTTTTTTTATCTGAAAATGTTTCTTGTTTCAGACTGTATTTCTTGGATGTGTCTTTCGAGCAGCTGATTGATATCTTACTAGAATCGTGAAAATATATTAGTTCTGAAATTAAGCTGAAGTAAATGATGTTATAAATTAATTTTTGAAATATGAACTTGTGTGGAATATATTGTATGG